GGTTTGTTGCGGCGCCTGGTGCGCGGGTGCTCTTCCACATCCCAGCTTCGAGAGCTGGGATCTCAGTGCATGCTCAGGCTCGGTCGGGCTGGGTCCCAGAACCTCAGTGGGATCTCTAAGGGGCCCCTCCCTGGGTCGTGCGTTTGGGGGCGGGAGCGTCAGGAGAGGAGGGTGAGAGGGAGCGGGCAAAGAGGGGAGAGCGCCGCGGCCGCGGCGCGCCGCGGGGCGTTCAACGCCGACATCGCGGCGCCCGCCGTCAGGCGCCGCCCTGCCTCCGCCCCCCCACCCCCCCCTGCCCCTGTCCCGCCTTGAGCCATCTCACCTTGGTCATCATGACAGGTTAGTATTATTATTATATATGTCCTCCTCCTCCTCCTCCTCCTCCTCCTCCTCCTCCTCCTCCTCCTCGTCCTCCCCCTCCTCTTCCGCCTCCTCGTCCTATTCCTCCTCCTCCTCCTTCTCCTCCTCCTCCTCCTCCTCATCATCGTCATCATCATCATCATCATCATCATCATCATCCCCCCTCCTCCCGACTCTGTCTTCCTCCCTCTTCTTCCCTCCACCCCCTCCTCTTCTCCGTCCTCCCTCCTCCCTTTCCCGTTTCCTTTTCCTTCCTCCTCCTCCCTTCCTCTCCCTCTTCCTTTCCCTTTTCGCCCCTCTTGTCTCCTCCCTCCTCCTGCCCCCCCCTTCCTCCCCCCTTCCCCTTCCGCCCTCCCTCGTCGCTTCCGATTGATGCTTACTTCCGCACCTGTCACTCAAGACTGGGGCCCTCGTTTCGGCATCGCCTCTGGGGGATTTCCCAGAGTCCCTGTTGAACCTTAGACATTTATATGGAGGAGGAGAAGAAAGAGGACAGATGACTTCCAGGGGCTCCAAGGATCGAGGGTCGAAGGATTGACTTCTGGGATTCCTTGAGAGGGCGTGGAGGGGCAGGTCGAGGATGCGACCATGGGAACGGCAGCGCCTGGGGGCGTGAACGTTCAGGGTCACGCGCCGACGCCGCAGGATGGCGGCGTAACAGTTCGAACGAGGAGTAAGAACCATCTCGTCCTCGGAGGTACTGCTACTACAACTACTCCTCCTTCCTCCCCCCCGCCTCCTCCACCCTCTTCCTCCTCCTCTCCCTCTTCCTCTCCCTCGTATCCCCCCACCTCCTGGTCCTCGCCCTCCTCCACCGAGAAGCGGGGCGCGCGCGTGGCGATTGCGACGGCGATGCGCCGTCCGAGTTGTGGATGTCGAAGTTCCTCGGAAGAGGCGGCGGCAATTCTTTTTCGGGCGGGAGATTTGGGCGAGGGAATATCGGACCCCGCGCGCCAGAATACCCCCCTTGTGACGGGGCGTGGCATCCGAAAGGATGCGTGTGACATGTGGAAGCGTGGCGCACGATAGTAGAATCATTGTTGTCGTTGTCGCTGTTGTTGTTGTTGTTGTTGTTGAATTTTCAGTTCTGCTGAATAATCATGGTTGATCCGTCCGCCCGGTGCGCGTTGCATTTTTCGATAGAAGTGCCCCTCCCGGGGCTCGCGCTTTTTTTATCAGGCATTGTCTTGAGGCTCAAACAATGTCGTTGGCACCCGATCACAACAACAACAACGGCTCCCGCTTGATATTGCCTCACAATGTACCGAATAATCGCGCTCTCGCTTAGGACCTCCTGGCAATTTACCACCAAATCGCGGCTCCCGCTTAACCCTTCCGGACAAGCGATTGCACAGTCGCGCTCTCGCCTGGGACTTCCTCGCAACTTACCACCGAAGCGTTTCGCCTCTAATTTCCTCACAATTCATTCGATTGCTGGTCCTCGGCGCTCAGGAATCGCGCTCCCGCTACACGTTGCCTGGCGGTTCAAGCAGGACTCACGCTTCAACGACCCGCCCGCTCGACCCGCCCGTCGGGGCTTGCCCGCCCAACCAGCCCGTTAATGACTGCAGCCGCCGCTCGCTGCCCTTCGCCCGCCTTCGATGCCCCTCGCCGCCCGTGCCGGTTCCGCGGTCGCCTTCGCTCGTTGTCCTTCGTGGCCTCGTTGATGCCCTCAGTGGCGCCGCTGCCTTTTTGTGGCCCCGCATTATATGCCCTTCGTGGCCCCCGCTCGCACGCGACCGTTGTGGCCCCATACGCATGCCCTTCGTAGCCCCGCTGTCGCCCTTCGTGGCCCCCTCGCTGCCTTTCGTGGTGCCTTTGCTGCTGTCAGTGGCCCCGTTGTCGCCTTGTGTGGCCTCGTATACGATTGCCCTTCGTGGCCCTCGCTCGCTCGTGCTCGTCGTGGCCCCACATGCATGCCTTGCGTGGCCCCACACTCTACTTAGGAATAGCGCTATCCTTCGAGACGTCCTCGCGATTTGCGAAGGACCCACGCGTCAGCATCCCGCCCCCTCGACCAAGTCGCGTGGGCCCCCCCCCCTGCCCGCTATGGGTCTGCCCACCCGATCTGCCCGTCTGGTTATACCATTTGTTTTCTGTTTTTGTTGCCCCCTTTCTTGCTAATTTTTCTCGTGTTCCATTATTATCCTTCTCCCCTTTCCACCCGTCCTCTCCGCCCTTGTTTTAGGGGTTCCAGTACATACACGTGGCAGGCAAGGAAGATAAACCCCAAAGGGTGTACGATCGAAGACAAAGAGGGCGGGTACCGAAGGTTTGGGATGTACTATCGACTAGCACGTGAGCAGATAGGAACAAACAGTCTTAACATGATTGTTGTTGTTGTTGTTGTTGGTGTTGTTGTTGCTGTTATTGTTGTTGTTGTGGTTGTGGTTGTGTTTGTTGGTGTTGCTGTTGTTGTTATTCGTAGTATTATTTTGCTATTGTTGAACTCTCATTTCTGAGGAATGATTATTGCTGATCCCCCCACCACTGCATACTGTTTTTTCATGAAAAGTATGCCCCTCGACGCTCGCATCCTGTTTTTTGTCAGGGAAAGTCTTGATGCTCAAACTGTGCCCCTGGCCCCCGGGTTACGACAACAACGGCTCCCGCTTGAGGCTTCCTCACAATTTAGCAAGGGCCCCCGCTCCCGCCCGAGACCTCCTCGCATTTTATTCAGGAATCGCGCTCTCGCTTGGGACTTCCTTACAATTTCTTCAGGAGTCGTTCTCCCGGCGTTTTGGAGTCGCGCTCTCGCTGGACACTTGCTTGCAAATCGCTGACGAATGCCGCCCGTGCGTTGGAATTCCTTGCAGTTTACTCATGCGCCGCGCTCCCGACACCCAGGAACCCAAGGAGGCGCGCTCACGCTCAAGACACCCTCACAGATTACCTCGGAATCGGGATCTCGGTGCCCTTCGTGGCCCTGTTGCACCCCTTCGTGGCCCCCTCGTTTTTTTTTCGTGGCCCCGTTGCAGCCCGTCGTGGCCCCTCGCCTTGTTCCGTGGCCCCGTTGCAGCCCCTCGTGGCCTCCTCGCTGCCCTTCGTGGCCCCGTTGCAGCCCCTCGTGGCCCCCTCTCTGCCCTTCGTGGCCCCATATGCATGCCCTTCGTGGCCCCATATGCATGCCCTTCGTGGCCCCTCTCGCTGCCCTTCGTGGCCCCATTGCAGCCCTTCGTGGCCCCGTTGCAGCCCTTCGTGGCCCCCTCGCTGCCCTTCGTGGCCCCATATGCATGCCCTTCGTGGCCCCTCTCGCTGCCCTTCGTGGCCCCGTTGCAGCCCTTCGTGGCCCCGTTGCAGCCCTTCGTGGCCCCGTTGCAGCCCTTCGTGGCCCCGTTGCAGCCCTTCGTGGCCCCATATGCATGCCCTTCGTGGCCCCGCTGTCGCCGTTTGTGGCCCCCTCGCTGCCCCTCGTGGCCCCGTTGCTACCCTCAGTGGCCCCGCCCTTGCCCTCCGCGGCCCAGCATACGTATGCCTTTCGTGGCCCCCGCTCGTTCGCGCCCGTTGTGGCCCCATGTGCATGCCCTTCGTGGCCCCGCTGTCGCCGTTTGTGGTCCCCTCACTGTCCTACGTGGCCAAGTTGCTACCCTCAGTGGCGCCGTCGCTGCCCTTTTGTGGCCCCGCATTATATGCCCTTCGTGGCCCCCGCTCGCACGCGCCCGTTGTGGCCTCATACGCATTCCCTTCATGTCCCCGCTGTCGCCCTTCGTGGCCTACTTCGTGTCATTCGTGGCCCTGCTGTCGTTCTCTCTCGCTCGCGCTCGTCGTCGTCGTCGTCGCCGTCGTCGTCGTCGTCGTCGTCGCCGTCGTCGTCGTCGTCGTCGTCGTCGTCGTCGTCGTCGTCGTGGTCTGTCCCCTGTCCGTCCCTCTTGGGGTCGGGTCGATGGTCCGCGGCCGCCCCGCCGCTCAGCGCTGCCGCTGGCCAGACCGACGGTCCGCGGCCGCCCCGCCGCTTGCCGGGGCCCGGCCTGCAGGGAAGAAAGGAATACACCCCAAAAGGGGTTCGATCGAGGACGAAGAGGGCGGGCATCGAGAGTTTAGGAAATACGCGTTATTGGACACTCGAGCAGATAAGGGCGAACAGTCTGAAAATGATTGATGTTGTTGTTGCTGTCGTCGTCCCACCCGCGACCCACCCTGCGACCCACCCGCGACCCACCCACGACACACCCCGCGACCCAACCGCGATCCACCCGCAACCCACCCGCGACCGAACCCGCGACCCACCCGCGACCCACCCCGCGACCCATCCGCGAACAATCCGCGACCCACCCGCGACCCACTCGCGACCCACCCGCGACCCACCCCGCGACCCAAGAGCGACCCATTTCGACCCACCCGCGACCCATTTGCGACCACCCGCGACCTACCCACACTGGTTAACGAAAAAGTCTGCGTTTGCGGCGGGCTCGTTGGATACTTTGCGAAAGTTTGGCGCCTGCGGCTGGCTTCTCCAGAGTCCTGCAAATTGACGACGTCCCCACCGCCACCTCACTTGTATCCGCATCTGCGGGGTGCTACGCATGATTGCAGTGTGCAGCAAACCGCCTTGGGCAAGACAGTGGATGCGCTGCATTGCGCCTTCAGCCTTACGCTCGCTTCTGGCGAACACTGTTGCGGTGTACGGGTGTGGGGCAGAGGTTCCATTCGAGGACGTCCGCAATGTGACTGAGTTGATCAAGTTGCCCAATGGCGAATTCGATATGATGTTGGCCTTGGCCACCCGCACTGTATTGGCCAGCGTGTTTCGTCAATGGTGTATCTCGCTTCGGGGGCGGACATGCCACGCAGCGGTACGCAGCAAGCAAGGCCCCACCAATTAATGACATGACAGCAGGTGGGCGTCGGACAGTGCTTTTCCATGAAACATGCCACCCGTATACAATCAGCCATGACGTGCTAAAGGTAGGGCTACATGGGCAGGTGGATTCGTCAACGCCTGATCATGCACTATGTGGTTGTCCGCGTTCGCCACATCGCTTGTTACGATCAGCGGCTTACCATAGTTAGCCGATCTGAGCGCGTGCCGTGCGCATGGCCGTGTGCAGTGCATACGTGAGCATGGCGCCCCAAGTACATGTGCGCATGCATGCATCAAACAATTGAAACACGCGCGTTCGTACACGTATGCTGCCATGCGGAGCCCGCAGATTGGCGTCTTGTTGTGCATACCCAGTTGCTTGTGGCAAGCCCCGCCACCGTGCGACCCCAGCACTCTGTGTGGCGACTGTTCGAGGAGCGCACAGAAAGCCGTAGCGTGTGACACCTGGTGTACCGACGCCCGATGAGAACAGCATTCTGCTTGCAGATAGGTCGGTGCGAAGCGAAGGTGCGCACGCGTGCCTTCCGCCGCCATTTGACAAAGGCACCCTTTCCGTGCCGTTCTTTCCCTCAACTATATTGTGGTGTTGGGTCCTCGTTTTGAAGAGACAGCGCGCCACATCTCATTCCTACTCATTCCTACTCCCCCTCCTCCCCACCTTCCTGCCCCTGCTCCCCGCATGCCCATCCCATGTCGGCACACCCCTCACACGCTTCGTGGCCCCATAGGGAGCTCCGCCGAAGGCCCCAGCGGCAGGGTCCGCATGGCACCGCCGCTTCCATGTCGGCACACCCATCACACGCTTCGTGACCCCAAAGTGAGCTCTGCCGAAGGCCCCAGTGGCAGGGTCCGCATGCCATTGCCGCTTAGATTTCGGTGCACCCTCACACGGTTCGTTGCCACATAGGGAGTTCTGCCGAAGGCCCCAGTGGCAGGGTTCGCATAGCACGGCCGCCTGCATTTCGTCGCACCCCTCACACGCTTCGTGACCCCATAGGGAGAACCGCCGAAGGCTCCCATTGGCAGGGTTCGCATGGCACCGCCGCCTCCATTTCGACACACCCCTCACACGCTTCGTGGCCTCATAGGGAGCTCCGCCGAAGACCTGAGTGACAAGGTTGGCATGGCTCCGCCGTCTCCATGTCGGCACACCCTTCACACGTCTTGTGGCCCCATAGGGGGGCCCCATTGAAGGCCCCAGTGGCAGGGTTCGCATGGCACCGCCGCCTCCAGTTCGGCACACCCCTCATACGTCTCATGACCCCATAGGGAGCTCCCCCCAAGGCCCCAGTGGCAGGGTTCGCATGTCACCGCTGCCTCCATTTCGGCACACCCCTCACACGCTTCGTGGCCCCATAGGGAGCTCCGCCGAAGACCTGAGTGACAAGGTTGGCACGGCTCCGCCGTCTCCATGTCGGCACACCCCTCACACGTCTTGTGGCCCCATAGGGGGGCCCCACCGAAGGCCCCAGTGGCAGGGTTCGCATGGCACCGCCGCCTCCAGTTCAGCACACCCCTCATACGTCTCATGACCCCATAGGGAGCTCCGCCGAAGGCCCCAGTGGCAGGGTTCGCATGGCACCGCTGCCTCCATATCGGCACACCCCTCACACGCTTCGTGGCCCCATAGGGAGCTCCGCCGAAGGCCCCAGCGGCAGGGTTCACAGGGCACCGCTGTCTCCATTTCCGCACACCCCTTGACACGCCCTGTGGCCTCATAGGGAGCTCCGCCGAAGGCCCCAGTGGCAGGGTTCGCATGGCGCCGCCGCCTCCATTTCGGCAAACCCCCCGCGCACGCTTCGTGGCCCAATAGGGAGCTCCGCCGAAAGCCCCGGTGGCAGGGTTCGCATGGCGCCGCCGTCTCCATTTCGGCACACCCCGCACACGCTTCGTGGCCCAGTAGGGAGCTCCGCCGAAGGCCCCAGTGGCAGCGTTCCCATGGCACCGCCGCTTCCATTTTCGGTACGCCGGTCACGCGTTTCGTGGCCCAGAGGGAGCTCCGCAGAAAGCGGTGCCCACAACGAGGTACCAGCAATTGCATAGGGTTGGGCCCTTCGCCAGGATAATTTCGTTTCCAAATAGCTTGCTGAATGGGGTGCTGTTGTGCTAGAAACTAGTTCTGGTCGAGGGACGGGCGAGCCGAGACATCCTGAACAAAATTTGGGGTCTGGGTCGTTTCGGCTGGGACATCCTCACAATTCTCGTTCCTGCGTTGGCTGGGATGGGGCGTTTCGCTTTGGATATCCTCGTAATTCTGAGTTCCGAGACGTCGCGCGCGTTGTGGTCTGGTGCTCGCTTGAGACATCCTCACAACTCTGGACTCCGAGATGCCGCGTCCGAAGTGGTCTGGCGCGTTCCGCCTGAAGCCTCCCAATAATTCTGAGCTTTGAGATGCTGCGCGAGAGGTGGTCCAGCGCGTTTCGCTTGAACCATGCTCGCAATTCGGAGCTCCGAGAGGCCACGCGCGTGGTGGTCTGGCGCGTTTAGTTTGAGACATCCTCGCAACGATGCGCTCCGAGCTGCCGCGCGCGATGTGGTTCTGCCAGTCTCGCCTGAGACATCCTCACAAGTCTGAGCTCCGAGGTGCCCCGCCCGAAGCGGTCTTGCCCGAAAGTATGAGCTCGGAGATGCTGGGCGAGAGGTGGTCTGGCCCGTTTCGCTTGAGACATCCCCTCAACTCTGAGCTCCGAGCTGCCGCGCGCGAGGTGGTGCGGCGCGTTTCGCTTGAGACATCCTCACAGCTCTTAGCTTCGAGATGCAGCGCGCGAGGTGGTCCGGCGCGGGTCGGTTCAGACTTCTTCGCGAGTCTGAGCTCCGAGATGCCGCGCGCGAGTTTCGCTCGAGACATCTTTGCAACTCTGGGCCCAGAGATGCCGCGCGAGAGGCGATGCGGTGCGTTTCGTCTGAGATATCCTCACAACTATGAGCTCGGAGATGCTGCGCGAGAGGGGGTCCCTCCCGAGGTACTTGGCACATTCTCGCACCCTCGAGCTCCGAGATGCCGCGCGAGAGGTGGGTCGGCGTTTCTTCACTTGAGACATTCTCGCAACTCTGGGCTCCGAGCTGCCGCGCGCGGGTTGCTCCAGCCCGTTTTGCTTGAGACGTCCTGCCGACTCTGAGCTCCGAGATGCCGCGCGAGAGTTGGTCTGGCGCGTTCCGCTTGAGGCATTCTGACAACTGTGGGCTCCGAGCTGCCGCGCGCGAGATTGTCCAGCCGGTTTCGCTTGAGACATGTTCATAATTCTGTGTTCCGAGATGGCGCGTTCGAGGTGGTACAGCCCGTTGTTTGCTTGAGGCATCATCATAATTCTGGGCTCCGAGCTGCCGCGCCAGAGGTGGTCTGGTTTGTTCCGCCTGACACATCCTCAAAATTCTCGAGGTGATCCAGCCCTCTTCGTCTGAGACATCCTCACAAAACTGGGCTTCGAGACACCCTCGAAACTCTAAGCTCCGAGATGCCACGCGCAAGATGGTTCTGTCCGTTTCGCTTGAGACATCCTCGCAATGTTGAGGTTCAACATAGAGGAGAGGGGGAGGGAGGACAGAGGAGGGGTCGGACCCATACGAACCATTGGATTACACTTCCGTTGTCGAGTTGTGCTCCCGGAGGAGCCTGGGCGCCGCCCGACACAACTCTAAGCTCCGAGCGCGAATTGGTGTTGGCCCGTTTCGCCTCAGACATCCTCGCAACTTGAGCTCCAAGATGCCGCGCGCGAAGTGGTTCCGACGCGTCGCGCGTCGATCTCGCACAGTTCCGCGACCGCTCACAGAACCCGAAGGTAACCCCCCGAACGCCCAGCGCCTCCACGCGCCAAGAGTGGCCCTTGCCAGGGGACCTCTCCTTCGGTATCTTGGGCATCGTGGATTAGCACAAGGTCCATTGACAACGGCTGCACAGTCGGCTAGAACTCAAGCGCGCGTAGCGCGCGCGCGTGGTTCTGGTGATTACAGTTTACCGCGCAGTGCGGCAAAAAGCGCAGGGAGGATGCCGGCGGAGGGCAGGGACTGCAGGCAGCCCTTCTGATCGGAGCCAGCCCATGGGCATATTGCATCGGCACGCGCGTGCAGCAGCATCGTACGACAGTGCTCGGATTGCGTACGTCTGAGTGCGAAACGAAAGTGCGCCCGCGCGACCTCCGTTGCCACATGGCACAGGCACCCCCTCCGTGCTGCATTCCCCCCCCACGCACCCCGCCAATTGCGGCAACGACTTGGCCCATTGCGGCCATGGGGGCCGCAGCGGGCTGGCCTTGCCCGTACGACTCGGGGGGCGTCGCGGGCTGGCCTGGCACGTGCGATTATAGATGGTCCAGGGTCTGGGCCCCACCCCTCATGCCCCTCATGCTGATGTCATCCCCCCCCCCCCCCCGCGCGATGCCCCCCCTCCCCTGTGGGTGTGGTATGGTGCTGTGGGTGTGGCGTGTTTGGCGTGGTACTGTGGTACTGTGGTGCTCCAGGAGAGCTCCGGAGGTCGTCGTCGCAGCCCGCCGCCGTCGTCGTCGTCGTCGGAGGGCTCCAGAGGTCGGCGCCGCCGTCGTCGTCGTTGTCGTCGTCGCCGTCGCCGTCGGCGTTGTCGTCGTCGTCGCTGTCGTCGTCGTCGCCGTCGTCGTCATCGTCGCCGTCGCCGTCGTCGTCGTCGTCGTCGTCGTCGTCGTCGTCGCCGTCGCCGTTGTCGTCGTCGTCGTCGTCTCGTCGTCGTCGTCGTCGTCGTCGTCGCACCCCCCCTCCCATTCCATCTGGCGGGGGGGCCCGAGGGACCCTGAGATCCATCCCATCTTGAGGGGGGGGGGCCGTTGGCCCAGAGCCCGGCATCATATACGTAGCACCCGGCAGATGCGGATAAGAGTGTGGGGGCGGTGGCGACGTCGGCAATGTGCGAGACTCTGGAGAAGCCCGCGCAGGCGTCAAAACTTC